TAATGTTACAATGCTACAAGACAATGTCACACTAATACTAGAAAAATGTCACACTGCTACAAAATCAAATTCACACTGCTACAATGTCGTTCATATATTTTTTTTAAAAAAAATATCATAATGGTCTCTTAATGTCAATCACGTTCGTGTGAGGATAAATGTCAATGATGATAACTCAAATGGGGATGATCGTAATTATCAAAATGATGATTCTGATTCAAATAATATTTGCTACTTCGCACGATAATGTCACAGTGCTACAAGACAAAATTATAATGGTACTAAAAAATGTCACAGTGTTACAAACCAAATTCACACCGCTAGAAACCAAATTCACACTACTAGAAATCAATGTCACATTATTGCAAGTCAATGTCACATTGCATATATTGACATGACGCATATCACAATGTATATAGGCTCTTTGGTTTTTTTTTTGGCAAATGATCGAACATTTGGTGTGCATGTAGTACCAAGCACTAAAAGTAGAAAGGTAATTGAGAGAAAAAAAGTAAATAAAATAAAAACATTTGGAGAAACAATAATTTTCTTGAGTTATCAACTTCTTTTTCAAAAAATTCAACTACTCTCACCCTTCTCTATCCTTTTGCTACAACCACTCCCATTCAAACCCTTATCTAAATTGTTCTCACCCAGATGGACCCTTTACTAAAACCACTTTGCCCTTTAATGTAACCAAGAGATGTTAATGAATTGGATTACAATCCATATCCAAGATCGTGTGATTGAGTTGATTTTTTGTTACTAAAAAAATTTATAACCAATCTCATCCTTCTCTATCCTTTTGCTACAAAGGTGAAGATTTGACTAATGAAGTTTTGAAAATATCATTTCTTCAACAACGATTAACATAAAATTTTGAGCATCCAAAAAGAGATTTTATGAAAGTTTTTAGAAGAATGAGATTTCCGCCGATATTAAACGAATTTATGTGTAACTGTTGAGATCCATTAAATTTCGGTCGTGAAAGTAAAAATATAGGAATCGGTTCTCATTCTACTGAAGAGTGTATTTTAGAAATTTGTTAGGAGTTGTGTACTTTTTGACCTATATTTTTAAAAATAGTATTTTTTATCTTATAATTTCTAAAAAAGGTACCGGCCCTTAAAGTTTTGGGCCCAACAATATCATACCTACACAAAAAGTCCAAAACTCATCTTTCTGTATTAATGCGATCTTCCATATAGTTGCCAACCAATTCATTCACTCTCTCTCTCTCTCTCTCTCACACACACACCCACGCAAACCTGTCGCTGCCTACAAAGATGAATAAAGAAAATACAACTTTCATAAAATTAATAAACTAATGACCGTAAAAATGCTTCAAAGTGATAAGTCCGATCCCTCTCTCTCCTTTTTTTTTATGTTTATTTTTTACTATCACTCTGTCAATTTAAACCACTATACCCATATGCTAATCCTAGATCACATGGATTTGTTTTATTCGATGATTGCTTTTTCATGTTATATTTTTTTATGAATTTAATTTAATATAATTCAATTCAAATTTTATTATAATATGAAAGTTATTATCATTAGGTCATTTGAAAGACAATGTAAATTTATATATTGGTCGCTAATAAAATTTTATCTTCTATTAACTTGTTATTTTTAAAGTTTTTAATGTATTAGATTTTTATCTCAGTATAGCCTTTTGTTGGTTTAATAATTTTTTAGATTAATCTTGAATAAATTGCCTTTATTTAACAATTTTTTTAAAACATGATCAAGTTTTTTATATTAGTGGGTTAGATTTGTTTTCAAAATTAGAATCTTAAAAGAAATTTCATTAAAAGAAACTAACACTTTAATTGAAATACTAAACAATACAAAGAGGCTAAATTTTTTCCAATGCATGTATTTCAAATAAAATATTATTAATAATATTCGTAACAATTGTTTCTCTATAAAGAAATATTTTGAAGTTAAAACTCATTATATTTAACTTGTGATGCAAAATTACTTATTATTTTTTTTTAATATTCAAGTTTCATGCAGATATCATTTTAAATGGATAATATGAATAACTTATTCAATCTTTGTTTCATAGAAAAAAGCACGACTTTTGTATAAAATTATAAGGAAAAATTTCAACCACACCCCCTTTAATTTATTATATCTTCAATGACATCTCATCTATTTTTTGAATATTCACTGAAACTCCTGTTAAATTAAAAATATTAACTAAAATTCAATTTTACTAAATTGTCCATGATATATTTGAGAACAAACTTCATCCACACCCCTCTAGATAAGCATATCTTCAATGAGACCCCCTCTGTTTTCTAATTTTTTTTTTACGTTTTAAAATTTGGGCCGATTAAAATTCGATTCAAACTAATTAAAATTTATTTTTTTAGATATTAAAATTTGAGCCGATTAAAAATTATATTTTTATTAAAATTTGGATTAATTAAAATTCTATTTGAGCCAATTAAAAATTATTTTTAATCGAGTCAAATCAAATTTTAATCAACTCGCATTGAATTTTAATTAACCCAAATTTTAATACATAAAAAATATAAATTTTAATTTACTCAAATTTTAATAAATCGAATTTTAATTGACAAGAATTTTAATAAGTAAAAAGATATAAATTTTAATCGATGCGAAAACAAATTTTAATCGGCGCTAACAACTAGGGTAGAGTTCAAATCGGCTCAAATTTTAATACGTAAAAAAAAATTAATCAGCTTCAATCGAATTTTAATTGGTTTCAAATTTTAATATGTAAAAAATAAATTTTAATCGACTCGAATTTTAATAAAATTTTATGTAAAAAAATTACTTGAGGTTTATGTATGTGCATTTTTTGTATTTTAGATGAATTTTTTTGTTAGAAATGGTAGGGGGTGTTAGTGATGTTTAGATATAAACTAGAAAGGGTGTCAGTAATATTTTTGATACCAACGGGTCTTTGGTCTAATGGTACTCCTTACTTTGTAAATGCATTAATTTCTTAAGGTCAAAGGTTTAAGTCCCTATCCCTCCTCCCCCCAAAAAAAAAGTGATGTTTTTATAATAAATGGGGTGTCCTTGAAAATATAGTAAATTAGGAGAGGTGTTGCTGAAATTTTTTCTAATTATAATTATATTATTTATACATTCTTTTTTTTTTTTTTGAGAGAGAGATTTGAAGGCCGGTCCCTGGCCTCAATAGGATTTCAAAATAAATTCGTTCTCTAATTTTCTTTTAAATTAAGTTCCTACTGAAAAGTCAAAGTAATGGATATAACTAGAGTCCTTTACAATTGTAAAAAATAACGACAACATCATTACCTAATTTAAACACCTATTTTAAAAAATTATGTCATCATAATGTATATTTTTCTCCATAAACACAAATTGTTAGACAGGTATACTAAAAAGAAATAGGTACACAAATATATATATATATATATATATATATATATATATATATATATATATCTTCAAGCCAAAAAAATAATGGGTACGCAATAAAAAAATAAAAAATAACAAGTACGCAATAAAAAAATATAAAAATAAATAAGTACACAAAAAAATAATAAATAATAAATACATAATAATTATCAAACAGATACTCTAAAATACAGATCGTTAATATATCTTCTTCTCCATAAAAAAAGATCGTCAGACAGATACACTAAAATATGATCATTAATGTACATTTTTTGCCATAGACACAAATGGTCTGACATATATACTAAAATACAGATCATTAATATAGTGCCAAAAAAATATATATAGAAGTTGTTTACTTTTATTATTTATAGAAATAAAAGTATCCTTTATGTTTTTAGTGCTGTAACCAGTATAGAAAATGTATATCTATAGGAGCAGATTATACGAATGCAGGTGTCAGCCTCCACAACGATTCAATGTGAAACTGATCGACTGATAAGAATGACGACTATAAATGGAAGAGGAGTTCAAGATAGAAAGTAATTTATAATATAACAAATTTATTCATTAGTCTCAAATAAACTTATTCAATGACCATTAATATCTCTCTTAAAATCATTCATATTGCATCATATCTTCATGCACAAGTTACCCTACCGTATCTATAGAAAAGAAGGTGACCTACTTTCCAGGTAGGGAAGAGAGTGATTATCGATAAATTTTACTTAATTTAGTGATTTGTTTGCATTCAATTGACTAAAAATTATGTAATGAGGGTAAAATAAATAATAAAAATTAGTAACTAATCAATTTATTAACATTTGTGCTAACACTGAGACATGTAAGTTTTTTAAAAAATTGAAAGACTTTTTTTGTATTAAAAATTTGCTAAGACTAAAATTAGCTTACACATTAAAGAAGGCATCCTAACCTAATTTAATGTTTTATTTTTTAAAATTTCAAAAGCCTGTTTAAAAAACATTTGCTTATGGCCCCAATTTTTATTGGGCCGACCCTGTCCAAATCTCATTACTATACAAGCTATAATATTATTTGGAAATAGTTTGTGGATCTAACTAATTGAATTAGTAATGGATTTTAAGAAATATTAGACACTATTATCAGTTCAATAATTATAAATAATTAAATTAAGTACAAACAGCATTGCCCCATACAAATATCAGATCACACCCTATGTGACAAGGATGACCACAAAAACATTTTTGGTGTATCAATTTTGAGGATCATACACTTCGAATGAATTAAACAATCATATAAGCTCCAGTCATGTACTACATCATCAAAAAACCCTAATTCTAGTACAATAACAATAGGAAGTAGAATCCATAAAAATAAAAAATTAAATTAAAAAGCCTTATAAACCCTAAACTTAGAGGTTAGAGTTCGACTTGGCATTCCTTTTAACCACCTGACAATCTGCCTACCGTTGTATTTGTAGAAAATTTTACCTTAGAGTAATGTTACGTGGACTTAAAAATTAGACTTGATAATCTCAACCATTGATTTTACTGTGAGTTCCAGCATTTATTGAGATCCACTACCTATTTAATGGTTAAAATTATCAAGTCTAATTTTTAAGCACATCTAGTATTACTCTTTATCTTAACTTCCTCGCAAGTAACCCTCATCTTTCCACTTTTCAACCTCAAGGAACCAAGCTGAACCCTCACACATGCATCCACTGTCACGGTAAACTCCACCACAGATCCATTTTTCTTAGCAGCATCAATGGCTTCTGCAACAGACTTGTTAATGGACAACAATGGTGCTTCAATATTTGCCTTCAGCAGTATCTCTGCTGATCTAAACTGATGAAAAGGCGAGATGGGTGTGGAAGAAATAGTTGAATTATTAGATAAAACTCTAAGGTAAGCTTCATCATAGAATATGGTAGCCATCTTGTTAGGGTTTTCAATTGAGAAACTGACGTTTGTCGTTAACCGAGACGCCGGTGGTTTAAATATCGATACAGTGATGGAACTGACTCGAAATTTTGGTGGGTTTTGTCGAGAGAATAGAACGACTAAGATTATAGCAATGAGCGTAACTATCCGTTGGAGAACTACCATGCAAGGCAGCTCTTCTTCGTTATATGTAGGTGGAGATTCTATGGCTAGAGAATGAGCACTGGCCGGAACAACAGAGTTTTGCTGGACGGAGAGGTCATCGTCCGATGGAATGATGACTAACCTTACTAGATAACCCATTACTGGTTCATCATGATTCTCCATTGCTGAGGAACATTTTAGCAGAGAGTGAAGAAGAAATTTGAGTCTTTGGGTTAAATTGAGAAAAGAAATTTTTTTGGTGAATAATTAAGAAATTGGTTGTTTGTGATTAGAAACCAAATATTTGCTGATATTTGATTTCTATAAACAGCCACTGTCTATTGAAAGTCGGGGAGAAAGTAGTCTACATTCTAGGAGAATGAAATCTACGCGAGATTCTAATGAACTTTCCTTAAACATTCAACGATTCTTTCTTCAACATGCTGCCCTCGTTGGTCCATCAAGATTGGCAATGGGTTGTGATGTAGATAATCGGGTTTGTATTGGATTGGGTTCATGCCGTTTATAAGTTGTTTATTATTTGAATCTCAATTTAAATCGACTCAAGTTTTAGTGCGCTTAGTGAGTCAAATCGAATATTATCTAAAGTGATAATGTTGTATCAAGTTGTAAATGCGTGCTAAGAATTGTAAACCTTATTACATTGAAATTTTTTCTTTTCGATTCTTAGAAAAGAGTTGATTAATTGTGTTGGTAGGAGCATTCGTATGCTTCTTTCTAATTTTTGTCAATTTTGATCGAGATTTTTTTTTAACTGTTGGATTCATTGGACTCTATCAGTTAATTTCTAGGGATCCCACCAATATTCGGTGAAACTCTATCGTAATAATTTATGTTAGTAGTGTTTTCTTTTTCATTTCTTTCTTTTTTTTTGTTTTTTTGGCTACAGAAGGTGTTTAGGTTTACACGGCTAACCATCCTAGTTTGAGTTGGATTAAAGTATGTTTCTAAAAGGATAAAAATGACTAACCCTTAAAGAGTATGAGAAGAAATTAAATCTGATGCCTCAGAGTTACGAAAATCCGACTCAACCACTGAACCACCTCTAAGAATATTTTAATATAGCAAAATGGGACCATGGTGTCATCTTGTATTCAGTCTTTCATTTTGGGAAAACTATATTAGATAAGTGCACAAGCTTACCTTTTGATTCGACTATTCGTTACAAGTGTAATTTTTCATTGCAAAACACCAAACTCCAAAAAGGGGTCCTCCCTATCCACTCTGTGATGTCCTGATCATAAGAGCATCCTCTCATCCACAAGGCGGTCTTTCCTCTAAAAGAGAGGAGAGGCCCAGCAAGTAAGTAAAGATATGAAGGAGACTTCTTCATTTTCTTTTTGAATGACTCATAAAAAAGAAGAGGCCCCTAGTCGAGTGAATCCGTTATTCCCATAACTTTCTCAAAGTCAACCTTTTTCCTTCTTTTAATTTTCAATAATTTTTTTTGACTATATGGGTTCCTCCCGGAGATCGAGATCAAGCTTTAAGAATTAGTGGCTCAACTAGCATAAGGGAGTACACCTTTACGATGTATGATATAGTTCAAGATATATATGCTCCGAGAATTCCTAAATTTCTCAAAAGTGGTACTTGCAAGCAAATAACACTACAAAAAATCACAAAAAAAAATCGGCATTTGTTAAACGTCACTAGAAAAAGGAAAAAAAGGCCCGGAAATCTCATTGTCGACATTTCCGGGCATGAAACCTTAGATAACTACCCTATGACAACCTACGAGGCTAGAATTTGTTGGTAGGCGGGTTTCTAGACTTTTTCCTCCTCCTTCGCTTTCATGATGGTTTCTTGGTATTTCATCTTCAACTATGGATAATATATGGCTCACGACACTGCATTTATTTCAAATAAGTTTGGATAGATAAGATCCATGCAATATCAAAAAATCCATTTGACAAGAAGAATTTCCATAAAGTAAAGATATCATTCCTAATCCACATAATAACGTATGAATAATAAAAGGAACCAATGGGTCTTTGGTATGAATGATAAAGGGATCACCCCAATATGAAAAGCAAATGTACTCTTGCTGAACTCTAAAAATTTAAGCTAATTTGCCGATTTAATGATGGAGAAGTTGATATGGTCCAATAGCAATGTTTTAGCTGCAACAGAGTTCTAAAAGGAAGATCCATGTTCAGGCTCAATACCATCCTCATCTTCCATGAAAGCTGGCTCATTCAGATCAAAATCTACAATTCTACCACCTGTCCGACTTGCTTCACCGGCTAATAGGACTTGGCTCGATGGAGCTTCAGCTGGACCCTTGCGGTGGTGGGAGTTCATGTGACCCCCAAGAATCTTACCGCTCGGAAAAATCCTACAACAAACTTTGCACTGATATGCGTTCTCCCCTACCTTTGAGCTTGGTAATTTGTTGTGCTTGGACTCTCTTTGACTCCCAAGAGCCTGACTTTTCAAAAAATTCTTGCTACGCACATTGCATGGATTTGGGTTATCCAACACCTTTGAGCTTGCTATTCCATTAACTTTTGTGAAGGGATTGGCATAATCTTCATTAACAGAAGCTGTGAGTGAAGGTTCAATGGCGTTGAAGATGTGAATCTTGGGTAATCTTTTGCGTCTGGACGCCCCATGACCAGCCAGTGTGTTTGCTGTCGTCTCGACTGGCTCCTTAGAGACCTCCGGATGAACACCTTGTATTAGTCCCAAATCATCAGTCGCCCTCTTCTCCAGCACCTTTGAGCTTGCTATTCCATTAACTTCGGTGAAGGGATTGGCATAATCTTGATTGACAGAGGCTGTAAGTGAAGGTTCATCAATGGCGTTGCAGATCCAGGGTATTTGGTTGCGTCTGATGATTGGCTTCTTAGAGACCTCAGGAAAAACACCTTCTACAGGTCCCAAATCCTCCGGTGCTGTCTTCTCCACCACCTTTGAGACACCTATTGCATCAACTTTGGTGATGGAATTGCCATAATCTTCACTTAGAGAAGCTGTAAGTGAAGGTTCCTCAATGGCTTTGCAGATGTGAATCCTGGGTATTTTGTTGCGTATGAAGGTTAGCTTCTCAGAGATCTCCGGACAAACACCTTGTACCGGTCCCAAATCCTCCAGCGCCATATTCTCCACCACCTTTGAGCTAGCTATTCCATTAACTTTGGTGATGTGATTGGCATTAACTTCATTGAATGAAGATGTAAATGAAGATTCATCATTGGCGTTGTAGATGTGAATCTGGGGTGATGAGTTGTGTCCGGACGCCCTATGACCTCCCAGCCCTTGGAAAGATTCAAAGCATTTGTCACAATCGCTACATCTGTATTTAGCCAATGTCATTGCAGTCGTCTCGGCTCGCTTCTCAGCGATCACCGGACAAACACCTTGTACCGGTTTCAAATCCTCCGGCGCCATCTTCTCCATCCTCTCCTCATTCATCATCATCTTCCCCTTCAAACTCTGAAAATTGTTGTTATTGTTTTTGCAATCAGAATCCTTGTCTGAGTGGAACTGGTCGCAATCCAGCACATTCTTGCCTTTGCTTTCCTTCGCTGCCATAACTTCCGGCATGGTGCCATAACTTCCAGCGAATCCTCGTTGAAAAATTCTAGGCTTTCTCAAAGCACAATCCTTCTTGTATCCAAGTGGGTATGCCGTAATTTTTCGCTTCTGAGAGACCTCTGGACAAACACCTTGTAGCGGTTCCAAATCTTCTGGCGCCATCTTCTCCATCCTCTCCTTATTGGTGATCATCTTCCTCTTCACACTCTGAAAATTCTGGTTATCGAGCTGTTTTCTGATAATCTTGCTAGCAGATTCGTAGTCTGAGCTATTCTTTCTATCGTACTCCTCAGGCCTCCCTCTGCAATCCAACACTGCCTTGCCTTTGCTTTCATTCGCCATAACTTCGGGCGTTATGTCACCTATGTTTCCGACATCGGAGAATCCTCGTTGATTAATTCTTGGCTTTTTCATCGGATAATCCTTGCTGTATCCAAATTCGTATCCCTTAATTTTTCGCTTCTCTGATTCAGAAACCTGATTTTTTCCTTTAAATTCTTCAAATCTTTGTTCATGAGCATCAGAATCTCCATTAGCTTGCGCCATGAGGCCCATGAGATCTTGAAAACCATCACGTAACTGCTCGTCCGAACTTGAAGAAACAGCCCTCCGGCTTCGCCTGGAAGTCACAGACCAGCCCTTTAACGACTCTCTTAAATCAATCCCTGGTGTAAATACCGATTCGATCTGATCCTCGACTTCTTGAGTGACATAAGACGATGAACTGTTACACTTCTCAGGATGGCAACTTATATGCTCAAACAAAGAATTCACTGATGAAAATTTTCTACCACAAATTGAACAACTTAGGTTTTTATCATGGCCTGTGGAATTATCAGTTCTTTTGTTCTTCAATTTACCCCTTCCTTTTTGAGGTTGCTTCTGCTGTTTCTGGAAATTGTTGGAGTTTTTGGGTTTGAGGTTCTTTAGAACTTGGCGTTTTCTGGCCTGAGTGTGAGCCATGCTCCAGTGACCCCCTAGAGCTTTACGGGTGCTAAAACTCCTGTGGCTCTCCAGACAGTACTCCAGAGTCGATCTTACCTTGCTTGATACTTTCTCTGATCTTCGGTAGCTTCAGATCTATCCACAACTTCCCCTTACTGGAATCTGACTTGCCTTAGTCTGAGCATCTGATTGGTTTCTGATGCGCTTTCCTGATTGGTTTCGACTGTTTTCTGTGATCATTCTCCATCGGGAAAAAAAAAAAGGAGAACAGAACAGAACAACACCAGTTGAAAACCCTATACGATATACTGAACTGAAAAGTTCTTATAGCAAAGTTGTAAAGAGAAGGGTTTGTGCGTATGATCGAAAAGTCTATACATACAACCGAAGAACTTGAATGGCTGATAAGAGACAGCAGAAAATCCTAAACTGTGAGTTTTTGTAGCTAGCAAGATAAGGAACTGGAGAAAACCCTAAATGATACTGAAGTCGGAGACCTAACAAAAAAGAGAATTTTGGGTGAATCCAATGAACAGGAGAGAAAAAATAGAAAGCTAGAATTGGAAGAAACGATTGGTTAAATGACATAGGAAATCGAACTAGAAAGGGAATGAAGCAAGCTAGGAGTTCTACTCCATGGCAACCCTCACACCCTGTTCGAAAAATCAGCTCCATAGTGAAGAAAAAAAAGTTTTTTTTTTTTTTTGGTAAACTGGTAATGAAGACAAAGCTGAAGAGTAAAAAATGGTAATTCTCCAGCAATGTATTTATCCCCAATAAAAAAAAAAAAAAAAACTCTTGAGTGAAATGTATTTCCTAATTGATAAATACACATTGTCAGGATGTTGTGAACAGAATTATCAACCAATTTTTAAAAAACAATTAGAATTGGTAACCCCATTAATTCCACACATAGTTATTGGATGTAAATTATACATATATACATATATCATATATCAATGATACCATGGTATAATCGTCTTAGTAAATAATTCTCAACTAATAAATAATATGTCATGATAAATATAATTTATTATTTTATGCCATATAAATAGGTAAGAAAAGGAAGATCTTTCTTTGATGGCTCTCACTTCCAAAAATCTGTCATTATTTATGGATGATCTTCCGATAATTTGCTGAAATAAAAAGATTTTGAGCCGAATTTTAAAGCCAGTGAAACATATATAATATGAATTTCCTTTTCAAGGTTTATTGACTAGGCAGAAACTCCACAAGATGGATCTCTTGGTGATACTTATCCCTAGCTATCTACAGTTAATATCATTCTCGCTCTCTTTTTATTTTCCTGACCCAACGGTTCAACCCAAAAAACCGGTGAACAGGTACCTGGATCGGGCCGATTCCTTAATTGAATCGATCCAACAAATGGCCTGCTTGAAAGGTTTTTAAGCCGGCCTAAAACCTGTCACCCCGTTGAAATCAATCTGGTTTGCACAAATCCATCTCGATGTAAAATGAAAAGAAAGGGTGGGGTAGGTGTTAAATTTTTTTTTTCTTTCTTATAAAAAATTTCATGATTTGTTTGTTTCACTAATTTCTATTATATTACCCTTAATTACATAAGGCCAAAGTTGGTTTGTTTTTTTTTTTTATAAAAACTCAAACTGTTGAGACCGAATGAATGACCGTAAGTTCAAATTAAGAATCAAGGGACAGAGCGTAATTTTTGAAATCACACAGAATATGTCATATTATGCGACTTCTGTTGACAGAAAATATTCCGAATTCAACAGGTACCACATGACACTAGCAGGTGATGTACATCATCTGTAAAATATTATACATTTCATAACTTCTCAAAATTGACTTTTATGCACTTCTCTAAAGTGGATAGGAAGAATTTATTGAAATTAAGTAGTTGCTTGAGAAACACTCAGATTGGCGTATGGTTCATGTTTACAGGGTGACAAACGCAAGCAGCTCATTCACTTGTAAGATGGGGGGATTAAGCAACAACCGATCGGGGACCTTGAATGCAGCACTCCTAACAGATGCAGTTAAGGCAACAATACAAATTGTGACAACAAGGCTGCCAGTCTGAATTTAATTTTCAATTACTAGCAGTAGTTAGAGTATAAAGCAATGTTATTGAGACTTGAAAAGGTACCTGTTTTGCTTACAAGCTACACAAAGAAATCAAAGAAAGGTGCAAGCTTAAAGATGCGTCACAAAACAGATCTGACATCAAAAAATAGCTTAACAGAAGAACAAAGAAAGCTACACCAAGACATAAACAAGAACCTGGGAGTTGCCATTTGACGAGCAATGATCGGTTTGCAGCAGAATTCTCAAATCTTGGAGAAGTGACACGATCCCTCACTGTTTGTAGGTTGTTCCTGATCAGAGTGCTAAAATCCTTGGCTTGGTTTGAGAACATCCTTGAGTTCCTCTCTCTCCATATGTGATAAACTGCCACTGCTAGACTCAATTTAGGAAGAACCACACGTAGAGATTTGCCTCTCCATTTTTGAGCAGCCCAAATGATGAAAGCAGGTCAGGCACCATAATTCCATAAAGAACAATGAAGAAGAGGAAAATCCACCATTGGATGTGAGGGACCAGTTAACGATGTCTTCCTCTGATTGGTTACGTGGATACTGGGGCATTGAGTTGATGATTTGTTGTAGCACTACAGAATGTTGGGATGGCCAGCACCATTTATTATCAGAGATGATTTTGCTTAGCCTTGCTTCTTTGGAGATTCTGCTAGAAGGGAGAATATTTTGACCCCATTTCATAAGGAGTGGCCCCTGTGGATGCCAGTTGTCCAACCACAGAAAGGTCTGGTTCCCATTGCCTACCCTGTGGATTATGAAAGGCCTAATTACTTCTCGTAAGTTGAGTAGTAGGAGCCAATTCCATGAACAATTCCGTGAGGGCGTAATTTCCCAAAAGTTTCTCCCCTTTATCTGATAAGTGTGTGAACCCATTTCACCCACAAATTATGTTCGTCATTGAACAGGATCCACGAATGTCTTAGCAAAAATGCTGTATTTCACTCCCTAAGTTTTTTAATTCCAAGTCCGCCCTCCTTCTTGGGCTTGCAAACCTCCTCCCAAGCTACCTTTGGTTTTAAAGTTCTCAATTCAAACCCAGACCATAGGAAAGCCCTCATGATTTGTTCAACTCTTTCCAATGTTTGTTGAGGAATAGCCAAGTGAGATGTCCAAAAAATCAGAATGCTACTCATAAGTCATAACAGAAGTGATGAGTTGAAGTCTCCCTGCTTATGAAAGGTATTTGTTGGTCCATTTCCTCTCAATTAGAGTAGAGCATTGCAGAGCCTTTAATCTTGAAGTGATGAGAGGGATCCCCAGATAACTTATAGGAAGTCACCCTTCAATAAACCCCAATGTATCCTTGATTAACTGTTTAATGTCTATAAGCACGGCAGACATAAAAACTTGACTTTTTTGTTGAATTTGCTTGCAGCCCTTATAAGGAAAGGAAAATCTCCGGGGCCCCTTTGAGGGTAGTCACTGACTTCACGTCTCCATCCATGATAACTTGAAATCTCTTGCAGAGGGAATTTCTATTTGTGATAACTTTTTTTAAATAATATTATATGAATTATCGTAAATATGAAATATACGATACAATGCAATTGACTTAACAAGAAAATATTTTGTGTTAAAAATAATTTTTTATTGACTTGAACACGACACATCACATCACATCACATGATAATGTTATGTGATAACTTTTAAGAGTCAAGTTAAAACTTTTAACAGTTATAACTAATTGAAGTTATTTGTGATAATTACAAACTTTGTGATCAATCATATTGATCAATCATATTAAGCGGGGCCGCTTTAGTCAGCAGTGATGATTATTGTTCAAAAGACTCGAGGAATGGACAATGCATTACATGGTAAGCGGGGCCGCTTTAATAGAATTTGGGTCAAATTTTAAGCGTGGTATTTACAAACTTATTATAAATATGTGTTATTTTTTTAGTGGAGAGATAGTGTTTACGTTATTTTAAGGTTATGCTATTTTTCAATGTATTATAAACTTAAAATCAAATTAATGAGAGAGATAATGTGTGTGTGTGTGTGAGAGAGAGAGAGAGTGATGTGGGCTGGATATCTTTATGTAAATCTATTTGTATATTTGATAATAAATGAAGAGTGTGTATGATTTTTTAGATGAGTGATAACCACCGAGTCATTGGGAGAGCGTAAAGTTTATTAAGGTATAAAAGAGAGAATTTGTATTTTTTTGGGCCCCATATTTTATAATATATTTGAATCAAATTAACCCATATTATAAAAATCAAAAATATAATTTGGGCCCCCTCATTTTTTGGAGGCCTTAAGCAAGCATTTTTAAGGAGAAATTGGAAGAGAGTACCCCAAATTAGAATTAATTATAAAAAAATACATAGAAAAAAATATAGAGTAAATAAGTCTTTAATTTTAATACTTATTTGTGTTCAAGTATATTACTTGAAATTTTCAAATTTTCTTGTGACATTTTTGTCCTCCATTGATCCATTCGTATTTTTTTTTGGAAAGTTGTTTTGTTTTCAAATTATATTTATGCATTAAACATCTCCTAATTTTCTAGGAGAACTTTAATATTTCATAGATTTATGTCATCCCTTGATTCATGGGTTTTTTTTTTTAAAGTGATTTTGTTTTCAAATTATATTTATGCATTAAATATCTCTTAATTTTACGGAAAAACTTTAATATTTCGTTTATTTTAGGATACATCACTTTGTTTGAATTTCAAATTTTGTTAATATGCGAACACCATAAAAGTGTAATAATAACAATGTAATAAGACATTTACACAAAATATTGTACTATTATATTTTGTCAAATATATATTTTCATATGTAATAAAGTAGTTTACAATTCAAATTTCAAAAGATAAACAAAATAAATTTTGTTATTCGCGGTTGAGATTGTTTTAAATTTTACTTTAAAATTAATCTAACGGCTAATATTAATACTCTAAATTTAATAGAAAAAATAGGTCCTTAAGGGTGTGTTTGGAGTTACTTTTTAAAAATATTTTTAGAAATTATTTTTTATAAATACTTTTAAAAAAAAATAGTGTTTGAAATCGTCCCACCACTACCTCCACCCCCACCATCACCACCACCGCCACCATTGCCACCACCACTACCGCCACCACCATTGCCACTGTCGCCGCCACCACCAATGCCACTGTCGTCGCTGTCGCCGCCACCACAATCCCGGTCATTGCTATCTATCACAACCATCACCGTTTCCTATCACCACTACTGCCACCCACCACCTCTCACCCCCACAACAAATCGATACTTAAATTTTGTTTATTTCTTTTCTATATTTGTGATTTAATTTTGGATATAAATCACAAATATATTTATTATTTATCATTTATTTTCATATAATTTTATTTAAACAGTTCATCTCTGTTTTGAATTTACTACCACATATTCAAAATCACTGAATACTGTCTTTGTTACAGTGTATTGTTACACTATTTTTATTTCACTATGAGGGAAATACATTCAGCAGATAGGAGATACACAGTTTATTCACACACAATAAATCATTATGGCAGAAACGTATAGTAGAAACATCATATTTCACACAGACCAATGATCAACTTTCAACAACTAATTTTGGTCTTCAAAT